GACGAGACGGAGGACGACCCCGCCATCCCCAAGCAGGAGTTCCAGTTTGCGCCGCTGCCCGCGATCGAGACGATGGCCGACGACTCGTACTGCGACGTGCTCGCGGTGGTGGCGCAGTGCGACGAGCCGCTCACGTACACAAACAAGGCGGGCAAGGAGGTGACCAAGCGCGTGATGCACCTCGCCGACAAGAGCGGCAAGTCGATCGAGGCCACCGTCTTTGGCTCGGGCGCCACCGACGACCGGCTGCAGGCGCACGTGTCCAGGCCGCGCCGCATGACGCGTCTGAGGCATGTCCCGTAGGCGCCACCGACGACCGGCTGCAGGCGGACGTGGTGCTCGCGATCAAGGGCGCAAAGGTGGGCTCGTGGAACACAAAGTCGCTGACGCTGTGGGGCGACACGCACTTCGAGCCCAACCCGGACACGGCCGAGGCGCACGACTTGATGGGCTGGTGGCGGCACACGGGCTGCTGACGAGACACCTCCAGGACACGTCCTAGACATGTCCGAGACATGTCCCACAGGTGGCGGCACACGGGCTGCTCGATGCAGCGCGCGCACATCTCCGTCTCGGGCGGCGGCGGCGGCGCCTCGCGCGACTCGCCGCGCATCCTCTTCTCGGACATCGAGGAGCGCGCGATGGGGATGAACGGGACGCCCGAGTACTTCAGCGTCAACTGCTTCATCACGCACATCCGCACCGACCAGCGCACGCTCTGGTACATCGCGTGCCCAAACTGCAAGAAGAAGGTGCAGGGCGCGAGCGAGGACATGCTCGACGGCCACTGCGAGAAGTGCAACGCGCCGACGACGGGCACGCGCCGCTGGATCTTCACGGGGCAGTGCAACGACCCCTCGGGCTCGCGGTACGTCTCCTTCTTCGACGACACCGCCGTCCGGCTGCTCGGAGGCCGCACCGCCGACGAGATGGCGCCGACGAAGGAGTCGGACAGCAGCCGGTTCGACGCGCACTTTCTGAAGCACTCCTTCCAGCGGGTGGTGATGAAGTGCCAGGTCAAGTCCGACACGTACAACGACGAGCAGCGCATCAAGGTGAGCTGCCAGAACTTCGAGCCGCTCAACCCAGTCGCCGAGGGGCGCCGCCTTCTCGCCGAGATCGCGTCGATGGGCGCCTGAAGGGGCTGTCGGCCCGGCGGCTCTGCCTCTGGCGGCGCCGGCATGTGCTGGGGAGGCATGTGGTCTGTTCTCGGCCCCTCGCTTGCGCGCGCGGTGCGGCGAAGCCGTCGACGTGGGAGGGGCTGGGGGAGGGGGTGAGAGGGAGGGTAGCGCCTCCAGCGCAAGGCCATGGGGGCCATGCTTGACGCTGCCGCTGGCACTGTCCGCTCGCCGCGCAAGCCGTGCAGAAAGCAGAACTGTCTAGCCGCGCCGCCGCGCGGTACTTTCGCGTCGTCTGGGGCCTCTGCGCCCTCTGTTTTTGTGCATACAGTCGTGGGAGGCGAGAGAGCGAGCGGGCGCGTCTCGCTTCACGCTTGTTTGTTTTCCCGGGAGTTGACTTTTTGGTGTCATGTTGCCTCCTTGTCCTACTTGTCGCGGGGGATAGTGCGTGTGGCGAGGCTGTGAGCGGCGAGGCCTGCCGACATGGCAGTTGCTATAAATGGCAGTTGCTTCGCGACCTTCTTTTTTGCTTTTAAGATTCTTTTTTGGTTGCCAGTTCGCTCTCCGCCTCGCTGGTCCAGCCATGCTTACGCCGCGCGAGGAGCAGGAGATGGCCGAGGTGCTCGAGTCGGAGTGCGCCGTCGAGATGGACAAGCTTGCGACCCTGTGTCGACTTGGCATCCCCGAGCGGCTGCGCGCCGAGGCGTGGAAGTACCTGCTCGGCGTGACACGGCCCGAGAAGGCGCAGGAGCTATCGCTCGGCAAGCTGATGGAGCAGCGCTACCTCCGGCTCGAGCGGGCGTGGCAGAGCGATCCGCAGCTCGAGCTCACGCGGCGGATCAAGGCGGAGGTCCGTGGGCACCACGCCGCTGCGCCTCATCTCCGCAGCCGGCAGCGGCTCGAGCGGCTGCTGCGCACCTACCTCCACTGCCACGCCGCGGACTACACCTCCGGCATGCTTCACCTGCTCGCGCCGTTTGAGCACGTGTACCGCGACTCGGACACGGACGCTTACTTTGGGTTCGAGGGGCTGATGGGCCAGCTGAGCTGGGCGCTCACCTTTGAGGGGCGCAAGCAGATGGCGGTCGCCCTGCTCACGCTGCTGCGCCACCTGCTACCCGAGCTGTACGCCCACCTCGAGGCGGAGGAGCGCCTCACCACCGGCACGAGAGCAGCCGAGACTGGTCGAGACTGGTCGAGACTGGTCGACACTAGCACACTTGACGCAGAGAAGCGACTCACCACTGGCGGCTGGCGGCCTTCATCACCTATTCACAGCAGGAGGTGTGAATAGTAGAGCTGTGAATAACTCACCACTGGCGGCTGGCGGCCTTCCCGACTCGCGGCTCACGGGAGCTGTCTGAGCCTGCTCGCAGCCCGCCTGCTTAGGCAGCCCGGCTGGCGGCGGCGGCTGGCTCGACTCTTGGCTCTCGCTGCTCCTGTCCAAGGAGCTGCCGCTGCCGTGCGTGCTCCGCCTGTGGGACGCGTACTTTTCGGCGCCGCCGGAGGGGTCGCTGCAGGAGCTGCACACCTTCGTCTGCCTCGCCGTCCTCGAGACGTGCCAGGACGAGCTACTCGAGCTGGACGGCGACGAGGAGCTGCCGCAGTACCTGCAGCACCTCCCCGCGATGGACATGGGCAGGGTGGTCACCTCGGCGCTCAACATGCGGGACGACTGCCTGGCGAGAGGCCTGTGCGGCAGCGGGGGGACGCGCGGCGCCCTGTGAAGTAAGAGTGTACGTGGACATACTGTTGCTAGCAACCGTGTGTAAGGGTTGTTGCACGAGTATATGCGGGGCCACGATGTCTCAAATATGAGGGGTTTTGACTCCTACCGGCTCCTGACGCTATCCCTGGCAGCTCTGATGACCAGGATCAGTAGTGTTGTGATGGAGGGTGCCCATACTAGCGCAGGAGCTGCCACACTCGCCCGGACCGTCCCCTTATGGGGCCGGTTCCGCAGCCCGCGAGAGCCGACAGCGGGGCCGTGCCGCGGGTGCCTACTGCCGAGTGCCACAAACACTGCGCCGTCCCGCCATCACCTACAGGCTGTCTTGTTTGATGGTTGGGATGTCCAAACGCCACCATCTTGGCTCTTGCGACCTCAAACCCGCGAGCTGCATGCGTGGTCGTGACGTCGACAGACGCCCGATGACCACGGTGAAGCTGAGATGGAACGAGTCGACAAGTCTCGTCTGAGCCCGTGGCGGTCGCCGGCTGAGTCGCCGTGCACGGGCCGGTACCTCAGGCGTCACCTCCGCAGCCTCAGTTCTCAAACTCCACCACCTCCGCCAGGACGCCGTCGGTGGCACGTTCGGCGGCGTACTTTCTGCAGCTCCATCTCAAGTACGGCGTCGAGTCTACTCACTCCTGTTGGATCTGTGCACTCCCTGGGACCCAGGGAGTGCACAGATCCAGCAAGCGGTGCGTCCCGGCAGCGCGCGCAGGCTGCGGAGCTGCAGCCGCTGCCCCCTGCCCGTCCACTCTA